GATGGGAAGTAAACGACTTAAATAGTACTTAAAGGGCAACTATAGTAATTTCCTACATCAGACACAAGATAGAGCATTTAATAGAAAAAGAAAAAAGAAAGTTGAAAAGTCCGGACAAAAAAAAAAGTATCGGTTAATTTGTTCTTCGAATGGGTATTTATTGTTTCACTAGTGTACCATGCTTAACTATCATATATAACATATAGGGAATAAACGTGTACCCATCTTGCATGAAGGTTGAATAGTCCACATTTATTGGTATCAATATAAATGATTAATCTTGTTTGAAGATACCTCAATATTAAACTAATTAAGTCCTTGGAAATCCTTTGATTTCGTATGTGTAACCCTCTTTGATATAGAATGTAACCTCTAAGTTTTGCAGTTGTGTGTTACTAATATTGCGATCTTTATCTTTTGTGTGTGACTAAACCAATATGTTTTATTTTGCACTTGACAGGTTAATCTTCATATAATATCTCTTAGTTTCTTTATTTATTGCTCATCCATGGATATGTTTCTTATCAACATCAAACTTCTTTGATGTACATTATATTTAGTTTAAACATTATATGATCAACCTATATTAAATTGAACATTTACTACTTCGTTAAACATTTTAACAAATTTTTCTCATAAATTCATAGCAATTTGTAACGATACAATCAACAACATTCAAAAACGATTACTCCATTTTTTTCCAAAAGTATCTTGTTACATTGTCAATACTAAAGATACAATACGATCATATAAATTACACATTACGTTATACTCAATATTATACACATTGTCCCATATGTTAGACATATGAATATCTTTAAAATGAGTTACCACGAGAAGCAATAATATCACATCCTGTGTTAAAAAGTCACGGAGAAAATCATAAAAAATAAAATATTTATTAAAAAATGGTGTCGTTTGTTGCATTAATTCCTAAAAATTGTGTATTAATTTTAGGATGAAAACCATAAATAAAAATTTGAATTTTGGACCCCCCGGCCGCTTAGCGCCACACTGCGCGCTGGGGGGCTTTTTGACATTGTTTTTTATTTTATTTGTTGAGGGCGATTTTAAGCAGACATGCTTAGAAAAATGTAAGGATCATGCCTCCAAATTTTCAAAAATTGTTGACATCATTTTTGTTTTGTTTTATTTTTAAAAGCCGATAAAATAGAGAAAATCATAAAAAATAGAATATTCATGGAAAATAGGTGCCGCTTGTTACATTAATTCCTAAAAATCATGTATTAATTTTAAAGTAAAATACATAAATAAAAATATGAATTTTTTACCCCCCGGCCGCTGGGCGCCCCACTGCGCGCATGTGGGATTTTTGACATCATTTTTTTTTTCATTTTTTGATGGTGATTTTTTGGAGGAATGCTCAAAAAAATGAAAAGATCGTGTCTCCAAAATTTCAGATTTTTTGACTTCGTTTATTTTATTTTATTTTTTAAAGGTGAAAAATAAAGAAAATAATAAAAAATAGAATATTCATCAAAAATAGTGTTGCTTGTTGCATTATAAATAAAAATGTGAATTTTAAACCCCCCCCGGCTGGGCCAACCACTACATGCGTCGGGGGGGCTTTTTGACGTCATTTTTTTTTCATTTTTGAGGGCGATTTTTTGCAAGCATGCTCAGAACAATGTAAGGATTGCGTCTGCAAAACTTCAGAATTTTTTGACATCATTTTTATTTCATTTTATTTTTCAAAGGTGAAAAAGAGCGAAAATCATAAAAATAGAATATTCATCAAAAATTGGTGCCGCTTGTTGCATTAATTCCTAAAAATTACGTATTAATTTAGAATGTAAAACATAAATAAAAATGTGAATTTTTGACTCCTTGGCCGCTGGGCACCCCATTGCGCGCGCCGGGGGTTTTTTGACATCGGTTTTTTTTTTTTTCATTT